ATGTTGAAATTGGAAGACATATGTAAGATGCATGTTTTATCACGTCACAAAAAATTAAACTTCTTTTTAAAATTAATCATTTATTAATTTAATCATTAATAAAATATTGAATTCAACCAGGAGGTTTAGGGATTAGGTGAAATGCTAACGTATCTCAATCATGTTAATTATACGACTTAAATATATATATTTAAAATATTTTATCTTCATTCTGATAGATTTTACCTAATAGTTTCTTTGACAGACGATTTTCTATACAACTTTGGAATGAAGAATGTTGACCATGAAGACCTTGACAAATCTTGTAGAAATGTTTACATGCTTTGTTTTGCAAATTTTTATCTGAATATTGAAGTAATGAAAATATAATTTCAATTATCCGTTTTTATTTATCTAGTAATTTTTTTAAAAAATTAATATCAATTTCAAGTTGTATATTAATTATCTGATCTATTGATCGATTAATTTGAATTTAGTATTGCAGAGGTAAGAGATTTTAACCAATTTGTTTCAGTTGTAATTTTTAAGATTCAAATTTTTGATCTTACTTAAGAGATTTAATATTTATCTCATTAATTTTTATCTTACTTAAAGAAATCTAATAATTTTTCTCACTAAACTAATTGAAATATAAACCCAGGAGTATTTGAATACGAACACGAGAAGGTCGACTTTGTTTATGACCTTTTTTTCTATCAGAATAACTTTGTTTATGACAAGGTTTAGACAAAATAGATGTATATCTTGTACAGTGAAAAGGCCAAAATGCAGAACAGATTCCAAATTTATTGTGGGAAATTAATCCCATTTAGAACCCGTAAAGAATCCTTTTCTTGCAAAGCCATAAAAGGTGTTATCTGAAAGGTGGAAGTCTTCACGAGAAGACTCGAGCTTTCCCAGTTTAAAGGTTCACACCCATGACTGGAAATTTAGAGAGAAAGAAAATGAGAATTACTGGTAAACCCAAGAGAAAATTTTAGAAAAGAACAAATGAAGAAAATAACACTTTACACCTACCAACATGCTCTCGCAAAATTCAGACCCCATTTCCTTACCACCCTTTTTATCACACTCTCTGGATTTGAGTTGTTATCACGGCAAAAAGTGTCTTCCTTGTTCTGGGTTTTCGAGTTTGATCCGGGTTGGTCTCAAATTCGGATCCAGAAAGCATATCAATAAAGCCCAGCACCGGGTCGGGCGATCACAGCATCAAAGGGATACCAGCTGATGGTGGACGCTATGTTCGGTACAACGTTTATGGTAGCTTATTCGAAGTTTCCAGAAAATACGTCCCTCCCATTCGCCCCGTCGGCCGTGGTGCTAATGGTATTGTCTGGTAAGCTATGATCTGGGTTTATCATCATCTTGAAGTTTCTCATGATAGTTTTTCGATAATTCAAGCTATGAGATAGCTTTGCGAGTAAGTTGTTTACATGTTTTGATGGAACCATGATGATTCTAAGCCCTGTGTTTTTAGATTGAGAGTGAGATGAGTGAACCCTTCACTTGCTTTCATTAGCACATTCAGATGTGTTTTGCTTCTAATGAAATTAAGCTGCCGAATTTAGGCCCCCATTGAAGTAAATGAATTTAGATCTGAATTTGCTGCCTGAGGAGGTTGAAAGGAAGTTACCATTCTGTTCATTAGGCTTTTCTATACGTTTATTAACCATATCATTGCTCCTCCCTTTTTTTAGTGCTGCCTTCAATTCGGAGACACGGGAGGAGGTCGCTATCAAGAAAATCGGGAATGCTTTTGAAAACAGGATCGATGGCAAGAGGACTTTACGAGAGATCAAGCTTATTCGTCACATGGATCATGAGAACGTGAGTTCTCTTAGTTCTGTCGTTCACATGTTGTTCATGTAAATCGACCCGTAATTGTATACGGGTGCTAATGACGTGAGATTCCTTTTCTTCTTCAGGTGGTCGCCATCAAAGACATCATACGGCCTCCACTGAAAGAAAACTTCAATGATGTCTACATTGCTTACGAACTCATGGACACCGATCTTCATCAAATCATCCAATCTAACCAATCGTGACAGATGATCATTGTCGGGTTGGTATCAAATACTTGCTGTTGTATTAAATATTCCTGGATAGAAACGTTATCCGTTTTCTGTTAGCAACTTAGAAGCTGGGACAATTGTTGATTCTGCACTGCTACTTTTGCTGTACTTTCTATATCAGGTTTTACGAGGTTTGAAATATGTACATTCAGCAAATGTTTTGCATCGTGATTTAAAGCCCAGTAATTTGCTTCTGAATGCGAATTGTGACCTAAAAATTGGAGATTTCGGGCTTGCGAGGACGACATCTGAAACTGATTTTATGACAGAATATGTAGTTACTCGCTGGTACAGGGCACCAGAATTGCTTCTCAATTGTTCTGAATACACTGCTGCAATCGATATTTGGTCGGTGGGTTGCATACTCGGTGAAATCATGACTAGACAACCCCTCTTCCCTGGCAAAGACTATCAGCTGAGGCTTATCACAGAGGTATGCTTTCTACAATCTTCGAAGAAACTACCAGAAAGCTCTTCGGATGGTCCATTACTGTTGACCCTTTCATTATAAGGTTCTCGGATGCATTTAGCTCTCTATATTCTCGCATGATCGTTATTTGCATGTTCTTTTATTAGGTGCTGGTTTTACATTGACAATCATGTTATGTAGATATGTTTCCAATCTCCAAGAGTTTTTGCTTATCTTGATGGATTTGCACATAATATTCTTTTTCCTTGGAACAGCTTATAGGTTCACCCGATGATTCGAGTCTGGGGTTCCTTCGAAGTGACAATGCCAGAAGAAACGTTAGACAGCTTCCACAATATCCAAAGCAAAATTCCGCTGCTAGGTTTCCTAACATGTCACCTGGTGCTGTTGATTTGCTTGAGAAGATGCTCATCTTCGACCCCCATAGGCGCATTACAGGTTCTATGAGTTGCTTATTTGTCTCCTCCACTTCGAAGTAACAGAAATAGTGGATGAATTTGAAGAATCTTTGGGAAATCATTCACACGATGCTTATATGTTGAACCAAATCATCCATTTTCGTCATTTTTCTTAACAACTTTTTATCGTCCTTTGCAGTTGACTAGACTCTATGCCATCCGTACTTGGCACCTTTTCACGACATCAACATGGAGCCTGTTTGCCCAATGCCATTCAGTTTTGATTTTGAGCAACCATCTGTTACTGAAGAAAACATTAAGGAGCTCATCTATAGAGAATCTGTAAAGTTCAATCCAGACCCAATTCATTGAGATTTATGTGTTTGTAGTGACCCTGGTTTGCTGCAACATAAGTTGTAGGACTAATCAGTCCCTTCTGAAATTCGAAAATCAATAAACGAGTCGTGGAAAAAATACTATTTAAATAGAATTGGAGTTTGTTCAACTGTCATTTCACATCTCTTGAGCTGATGATGCTGGACCATGTATGCATCTAGGAATCATATAGGCTTGTCTTGGATATGGAACTAAATTGTTCAGTATTTCACTTGAAACATTGTATTCTACTGCAGATATCCTGGATCAAGGATTCTAAAGATTTATAGGAGGAATCATTTTCCATCAATGCCATCTACTCTTGATCTTCATTTCCTTTATCTTTGCCTTCACTTCATCTTCACCGTCCATCAAACGCCTCAACTCTCTTTCGAACTCGTAGGACGCCACCAAATCACTGCCGTCCCTGTAATCCGACCTGATCTCAACACCCAATTCCAACTCTTTCACTAACTCAAATGCATTCATTTGTTGCTCTGCATATACCAGCCATGTCGCAATAGGAACACCGTGCCATATGCTCTCCAATATGGAATTCACCCACAGTGCGACACAAATCCTCCGATTGCTTGGTGGCTCAATACTCGCACTTGCTGAACCCACCCGCACACGAGCCCCAACCCGGCTGTCCGGTCCAAGAACCCCAACGGCAAAACATCCGCTACATTTGTGTACTCCCCTGGGAGATCCAGTTTACCTTCAGGTGGCTTCCGAATGGACCATAAGAAACGATACCCGGAATGCTCCAGCCCGAAAGCAATCTCTCTCAACTGGGATACCTCGAGACTCCCCATGCTCCCGAAGCATAGGAACACCACTGAAGATGGAGGCTGATCATCAAGCCATTTCATTATGGAATCCTGTTTAGCTCCATCCGGATGCCATTGAGCGGCTCCAGCATGATCAATAATTGGACCGACCGGATAAGCCGGGGGAACCCCATTAAAGGAGAGCGAGTCAATGGCATGGGGCTCCAGTTCAAGGAACGTGTTCACTACGATGCCCATGGTCTCATCGTACCTACAAGCGTGTTCCAAGTACCAGAAATAACCGTCCTTGTTTCTCTTTAGCACCGAGGTGGGCAGCAAGCTAGGGGCAAGGGTTTAGCAAAAGTGGGGACGATCAACTCAACAGCCGAGTATTTGGGGACGATTAGTCCCTAGTCAGACTCAACAAAGTCGACGGTAAGCTGCCTGCCTAACTCAGGCAAATGGAACATAAACCCCAAAAAACAGGCTGGGGAAGCAAAGAAGAGATAACAAGGAATGCCGAGTTGATTGGCGACATCGATCATGGAAGTGGTGAACATGTCAACAAAGAGAGCAGCGATCGAAGTAGTTGAGATGAGGTCGGAGATGACATGTTTGACGTGGGGCTTGTGTTTGTCTATGAAGAGGGATAAGTAACCCAGAGAAGATTGGTACTGATCAGTACTAGGATGTTCGACGACGGTAGGGAGATGGATGAATTTGATACAAATATAGTTGAGATGAGGTCGGAGATCACTCGTATATGGATTTTTTTTTTTCATTCAACTATATTTTTTTTTGTCATTTTATTTTCTTTTGTCACCGACTATTTTAAATACAAATATATTTATACAATTATAATTAATTTATTAATATATATATATATTATATATATATATTATTAAAAAAATTAAATTATATACTGAAAATACCTCTATTTATATTCTTGTTCCCTCTAATATTCCTCTGCACATTGATTTCCATACGGAAAATCCATGTTCCCTTGAGTTAGAGAGAGTTAGAGCTTCGAATCTAGAGTTCAGATTTTCATAGCCATAAACACCCACAAAATCCAAGTTCAGATTTTTTAAAACCCTCCAAGGTTCAACCATGAAAAACAATCCAAAGGTTGAAGACAACTTTCCATGGGATCAAAGCTCGAGAAACCATTTCACTGTTTCCTGGACTTTCCCCAAGCTTGTCCTTTCTTCCCTCCTTTTGATTTCCGTTCTCTGCGTATTCTACACAGTAAGTTTCTCGGATGCTCCGAACAAAGAACCGAACATCATCAAAGCTGTTCATGTTAATGGCGGAGAGAAATCCTTATCCATAGCTCCACCGCCCGTTTCATCTCCCAAACCGAACTCCTCAGAGGAAACAACCCTTCACCATATAGTTTTCGGCATTGCAGCCTCGGCTCGGTTATGGGATCAAAGGAAGAATTACATCAAACTGTGGTGGAAGCCTCAGCAAATGCGTGGCGTCGTCTGGTTAGACAAGGGTGTTAAAAGCGGAACCGATGACCACCTTTTACCGCCGAGAATGGTCTCCGGCGATACTTCCAGGTTCAAATACAATAATCCGAAAGGCGACCGGTCTGCTATAAGGATATCCCGTATAGTATCGGAGACACTACGGCTGGGCTTGGAAGACGTGAGATGGTTTGTTATGGGAGACGATGACACGTTCTTTGTGCCCGATAATTTGGTTCGGGTTTTGTCTAAATACGACCATAATCAGTTTTATTACATCGGGAGTTCGTCGGAGAGTCATTTGCAGAACATTAATTTCTCCTACGGGATGGCTTACGGCGGCGGAGGGTTCGCCATCAGCTACCCCCTAGCTAAAGCACTAGAGAAGATGCAAGATCGGTGTATACAGAGATACCCGGGATTATACGGCTCCGATGATCGGATTCACGCCTGCATGGCGGAGCTCGGTGTGCCCCTCACCAAGGAACCGGGATTTCACCAGGTTTGCCTGTTCTTCATTTACTTTTCTATATATTGAGTATCACGGCGTTGACTTCCACATAGCTTTGGACAGCTTTTGGAAGCCTGCGTGAGTGCGTGTGCGTTGGTTTCAATGAATTTGTTGACCAACCAAAGTCGCCTATTATCCTGACGGTCGAACCTAAACAACTTTACACTCATATGAATTTAAAATTCTAATTAGTTCGAAGTATAATAAGTTTAATATCATTTAAATAAAACTTTAATTTTTATATATTTTAAAAAATTATATTAAAAAATTTATCTATTAAAATTAAATATACGGAGGGACAACGAAAAAAATTCTCTCGTCTGCATAACACTTGTCCATCTTATTCTCTCTGCCGAATCCTTTCTGCTTTACTTTCTTTGGTTCTTAGTTCATTCTCTTCGCCACACGTGTACGACAAGAAGTTTGATGTTGTTCCGGCTCCATGTCTTGTGTAGACACGTAATTCACTCTCTTTTGCTTGCTTTCGTTATAGTTTTTGACTGTTAAAGCTATCTAATTTCAATATTCTTTTAAGATTTTGGTTTCTAACGTGGCGCACTTCCCCACTGCCGTTTCCCTTTTGGTTGGATCAAATTCGTAGGCTTTGGCCATGATTAGCTCCACAATTGGTTCATATATGCTACTTTTGATTGGTGAGCTTGTCATTCATTTTAGGCCCGGGCGGATCGTAATTAGGGTAGAAGAGACTTTAGGCCATGATTATTTTCGTATCTACTGAAAATTCATCACCTAGTAAATTTTTTAATTTTATATTTGTCTATGTAAATAGTTTTCAAATTCACCCCACACCTATTACATAACTGGATATCTACCACTTATCTCGTACCCTTCTATACCCATCTGACAACAATTTCACATATTACATAAGAAATAAATCATAAAACAAGTCCATAATAATCTAGATATGAAAAACAACGATCTCCCATTCTAAAAATATTTATACCTTAATATTTGATTAAATTACAAGTCATGTCTTATAAAACCTTAAGATTTACAAAATATTCTATGGAATTATACTTAAATTCATAATGGTAAAAAATTTATATGGTGAGTAGTTAGTGGAGGGCGGATGTGGAACGGGCGAATGCGAGGCGGGTAAGGTCTCAAGCTCATCGTCTAACCATTATTCCTTATCAGTACGACTTTTTACATCCATACCTACCTAATACTCACTAAATTTATATTCATCCCTACTCTAATTGGAGTGGATGCGGTATGAAATCTATGAAATTGTACTCGTCTTCCATCCCTATCTAGGCGGAAGAAAGAGAAATGCTCCTAATAGATCTCGAATCTATAACCTAAAAAAATAAGAGGGAATAAAGATGAGTAGCTTGATGAATCATTAAATGTAATTACCCAAATAGTTGATTTTTTTTTATTAAAAACTAAATTGATATGTTACTATCGAACTCTTTAATTTTTTTTAAATTATTTAAGTTGGTACCTAAATATAGAGATGTGATCTTATGTTTTGTTTTGAACAGTACGACGTGTTTGGTAACCTGTTGGGTCTGTTGGCTGCGCACCCCGTTGCTCCACTGGTCTCCATTCACCACCTAGACAAGGTCGAACCCATATTCCCCGATGTGAACCGGGTTCAAGCCCTGAAACGCCTGCACCTCCCAATAAACCTGGACTCGGCTGCATTGATGCAGCAATCGGTTTGCTACGACAAAACCAGGAGTTGGACCGCCTCCGTCTCATGGGGCTACACGGTTCAATTATACAGAGGCATATTCTCAGTGAGAGAGATGGAAATGCCGGCCCGAACTTTCCTGAATTGGCACAAGAGAGCCGATTACACCGGCTTCTCTTTCAATACCCGACCCGTTAACCGTCATGCCTGCCAAAAACCGTTCGTGTATTACTTGTCTAAAGCATCATGGGACAAGAAGACAAACCAGAGCACCTGCGAGCATGTTCAGCACCGAGTTTCCAACCCTGACTGCAAGTGGAACATGCCGGATCCTTCACGGATTGATAGAGTCGTGGTTTACAAAAAACCCGACGCGAACTTATGGGACAAGGTAAATTTGTGGTTTAATTATAGTATCAGTCCCTCTATTATGAATGAAATTGAGATTTAATATTTTAGTTCCTCTACTCTTCGTTGTGTGTTTGAGCAGCCCCCACGAAGGAATTGTTGCAGGGTGTTGCCAATGAACAAGAAAAGCGCCATGGTTATTGACGTGGGAGTGTGTGGAGATGATGAAGTCATTGAATTGAGATGAGACATTTTCCATTTTTCCATCAAAACAAATAACAAAAATTGTAATAGAAAACCTACGACACCATTCACACCACAATTGCAACCGAAAATCTATGACCCACGTTTTCCTCACAGAATCAACGTGAACTCATAAAAGTGCATGTGCATTTATTTTACGTATGTCATGCATGCATATGCCATCAATCTATATGTATTCTATGACTTCTTCGATTGTTGTAAATTAGTGATACATATCATCATCTTAAATAAAAACATGTTAGTTTTAGAACTTAATAGGCTATTAACAAAAGAACTCGATTGAAATAATATTATAGTTTGAGGATTCGATTAAAATATTTGGGACCAAATTAAAATGTAGATGATAATTGTAGGGTGCCGGTACAATTAATCCCGCAAGAGAGTAGACTCTGTCTTGTCCTGGCAAGTGGTAAGTGAGTCACTGACAAAGACATAAATTAGCTGATCCTATTCCCATATGTAATGGGGTAAAGGGGAGGTAGGGTAGTAGGCTGGCCCCCAACGCCAGGTTGAGGGGTAAAGGGAGGTAGGGTAGTAGGCTGGCCCCCAACCCAGGTTGAGAGTCCCCCAACACCAGGTTGAGAGCAGCTTCCGTGGGAGACCTCTGAATTATGAATTGCCCACCGTGAGACTCGATCCCACGACCCCAAGGTTAAGAGCCTTGTGCTCTACCAACTGAGTTGGACAGTCAATTCGTCTTGACTCAGACATACCCTACGCTAAATTCAAGTCGTTGCGTTTGACCCAGTCTCGATATAAACGAGCACAAAATTTCCTCCCCCATTTCCCACTCTTTCCTTCTTGCGTTTTTTGACAAAAAAAAACACCTTTAAAATAAATTATTACCGATTAGACAACAAGTTTGAATTTTTTTGATCAAGTACTAGAGAGAAGGAGACGCGTTTCAATACCACAGAAAATAGTAAGATGGACCCGATGAAACATGTTTTACCTGCAAATTTGCTTAGATTATCTATCCCTGGAAGAAGCATGCATGGGGACGCGCCTTTGGAAGGTGCAACCCACGGGGCACACCTTTCTTTTAATTTTTTGACAGGAGCTACCTTTAAGGCGCGCCTTCCGCCGTTCCCACCACCTTTACCGCCCGAAGCTTCTTGCTTGAATCTTCTCGCCCAACCTCTCCCACTAAACTCCCCAAACCACTCCCTATATAAACCCTCTCCTCAACTAAAAAGATAACACCTAAATTCTATCTTCTTTCAATCTATTATATATATATATATGTATAATTATTTAGTTTTTAGTAAATTTTTTATTATTTGTTTTTTATTTATTATAAACTAATTTAATTAATGTTTTTATTTTCATGTAAAAAAATGGAAGCCGTGTTGTTGCGATTGGATGCTGAACATATTTCGAGTCATTTTGCGGATACGGTAATAATACGTAACTATATTCTTTTTAAATTTATGAATATTATGGAATCAATTATATATGATTTAAATTGTTAGAATTTATTTAAAGAACACAAAAATAGTAGTTCAAATTTTAATGTTTAGAATTTATTTGTTAGGAAAATGATCGTACATTATAAATTTTTATTTGCAATAAGAAGATGACAACACCGAGGCGTATCTGGCCATTTTTGTCAATGACTGGATTCGATTACTTAGCAAAAGTTAAAGGAGGTTGTAAACTTGAATCCGCCCTGATTTCTGCACTCATTGAGAGATGGAGGCCAGATACACACACGTTTCATCTACCATGTGAAAAGTGCCCAATTACACTGGAGGATGTTTCAATGCAACTCGGGCTACCGGTAAATGGAAATGTCATATGTGGCGTGGCAAATAAAGATTGGGGATCTATGCATGGAGTATCTTGGGAAGACGCCACCTAGTTTCAATGGTAGTCGAATAAGATTACTGTGGCTGAAAAATGAATTTACAGAGTTGCTCAAAATTTTTTGGAGGACGACGCAAAAGCTTTTTGTCCGACATATATTCTATAACTCATTGGAGGGATATTGATGCCCGAAAAATCTCGAAATCAGGTGCATTGTATATGGTTGCGGTATCTGATTGATTTTGAAGACGCCAACACATTGAGCTAGGGGTCTACGGTGTTGGCATTTTAATTTAGAGAAATGTATCGGTCGACAAAATATAGTAAGAATGCTATTGGCGGGTGTCTCATGCTTCTCCAATCGTGGGCATGGTACCGCATGTATTTTTTGTGCCCAATCGTGAATGACTCATATGTCTTTCCATTACTGTCAAGGTATCAAGACTAAATTTATTTTTAAATAATATTTCTTTATTATTATAGATATATATATATATATATATATTAATTAGGTGGTCAAATAAAAGAAAACAATCATCGTGATATCCCACAAGAATTAGAAGATATTCGATTATTGATTGATCGGAAAGTTAGAGGAGATATACATTTTTATATCATTTTTTGATTTAATTGTATTGATATAATTTGAATCTTATTTTGATTTTGATAAGAAATCTATATTTTTTATTTTAGTTCAAATGGTTGTCATATTTGGACGATGAATTGAGGGTTTGTATCTCACCTAACTTTAGTGGGCTATTGGATGTATGGATGGCGATTGTGCCCCTTATTTGTTATGTTGTTGTTGAGTGACATCTGATTGATCGCGTGCTTCATCAATTTGGTTTTACATAATACATTCTGAAGCACGAAGAAACATTGACAACATACATAATGTTGATAGGCGGGGCAAGAAAGAGGTGAACTGGTTGGTGAAACACAAAGATTGGTTGGTGATATAGGAGATCCGACATCAACGCTTGCCCTATCGACAATATATATTAGAAACTGGATGCATGGTTTCACCTGGCCATATAGAATGATTCAACATAAACGGGAAACCATTCTTACTTTCGGAGGTAACATGAGGGGGTCAATTCATTATCGGCGACCAAGATGTCTGACATCGCAACATTATCGTCCCCCACTACTGAACGAATAGCAGACACTTTCGGGTCGTCTGCATCTATGTCGCCAGGACCTTCACACCAACTGTAAGAGACATTGATATACATACCTAACCCTTTATCTTACATGGGGACACCGCTTCAGTTTCAGACGCCCTTGCTGTTAATTCATATGTCATATCCACCAGTTGAGATTCCAAATCCGCCGGTTCATATGCCACAACCGTATGGCTACGCACAGAGGCCGTAGAGTTTTATGACACACCTGTCAGGTATTTTTCGTCTATGCTTGCAGATCTGACATTCAGTTTCTATGCTAGTTATCTTGAGGGTGGTCCTCCACCAAAAACACTACGCCCGCAGTATGCATCTCATACATTGATGTCTGGTTTTTCATATTTTTACAGTTCTTAAGGAGTGGTAGGATAGTCAGTTAAATACCTCTAGAATCCTTATTCTACTGAGGTGATACATCTACATTCAACCCTTACCGAGATAATGTTGTTGAGACCGATGATGATGATGAAGACAACAAGGATGATGAAGTTGATGAGGAGACTGAAGAGGAGCAGTAGTAGATAAGAAGAAACACTTCTCGAACTAGATGACCACCACCTTGCGAAACACATTCTAGGAGACATCGATATATATAATAAAATTGTAATGTTTTTATTAATTATTTCTTTACTATGTATTTGAATCTTATTTTGATTTTTATGTATTTTGTATCAAGTTATTATGTTTCTTTTTATGTATTTATGTATTTATTATTTCTTTATATGTTTTTGTCGCTTATTTGATTTTTCTATCTTGTTATGTTTCTTTATTCGTTATTCTGTATTTATATAAAATATGTTTTTGAATGATGTTTAATGTTTTTTTACGAAAAAAATGACAAAGCGGATATAGTAAATTGGGTATGCTCGTTTTATAGGACGTGTTTTGTAAGAGTTATATATATGTGCAAGGTGAAAACTAATTTTAATCTACTCAGGAAAAAGCTTGAGGGATTTAGCTACGATGATAGCTATTCATGACTTTTTTATTGCAAAAAGTTATGCATGTCTTTCAACAAAAAAAAATTCACTTAAGGAATTGAAGCGTAAAATAGAAAGAAAGGTTAAACTCGGATGAAAAAAAGAATTTATTTGCTATATTTTAGGTTGTTTGCTTCATTTAAGAGATTTCTTCTAAGCGATGATGTACCATTGTGGAATGATTGAAACATAATACTCTTTTTCTGTGTCTCATGTGGACTTGTTTGTAGAGTTTGATGATGCTGATGATGATTCTTTTAGTTTGAATACCAAACACGTAAAAATGAACGAGTTCGGGAACACATAGATAGATGATGAAGACCCAGAAGCATGGTTCAGACGCAATTGGGAATCATAACAACATTAAAAAAAAGTATGTTTTAGGACGTGCGTGTATGCTTATATATTATTGTTTAAGGTGTATTACTATGCTTTTATTTACTATTTAAGGTGTGTGAAAGATGTGTCATATTTCTAACTCGTTGGTTTGGTATTCTTAATGTCATGATTAATAGTTTGTTGTTTATTGTAATGTCATGGTTTGTTGTTTTTATAGTCCAAATCTATAACAAATGGCTTTTATTTACTATTTAAGGTTTGTGAAAGATGTGTCGTATTTCTAACTTGTTGGTTTGGTATTCTTAATGTCATGATTAATAGTTTGTTGTTTAATATAATGTTCATGGTTTGTTGTTTTTATAGTCCAAATCTATAACAAATGTCGTATTGAATTTAATTAGTCCTACTAAGAATAAAATCAATTACAATATTACTTTCACGATTCCATAAACAATAAAAACAACCTCAAAATGTGTTATCACATGCGCAGTATGTTTGTGGAATCTTTTTTATGTAAGAAACTGAGAATATTTTGGCAGTAGTTAATATAGTCATGCTTCTGCTGTGGAGAAGCTCTTTTTGCTTCATCTTTAAATGCATTGGGTTTAGGCATGATAACACTTGATATCTTTCTTGTAGCCTCTCTTTTATGTGAAGCAATCGAATGTCTAAAGTGTAAGTTGCTTCGATGACACCCATGGTAGAGGCTTCCTTCAAGATATGACAACTAAGTTCAACATTGGCACAATATTTGGAAAAACACTCCACTATACCTTCCCTAAACAATGTAT